CTTTTGCTGATGATAAAATATCTTTGGTTGAAACAAATAAATTCAATAGAGGAAGATGCCAATGAACCTATTTGAGTAAACTCTTAAAGAAGCACTTCAAGGAGAGGAAAATATAAAGAAAAAAATGAAATAAACTTCTTCTTTAAGTTAAAATTAGCTTATGCATGAGATAATTTATAGAAGTTCATTTTTATTAATTAATTTCTTCAAAATCTTATTTTAGCATACGCAGAAGTTAATTTTAGCTTGTGGAAAAACTAATTTCATTTTTCCTTTCTATTTTCTCTCTTAGAAGTATTTTTGGAGAAGTTAACCCAAATAAGCTCAATAATGATGAAGATGAAGGTGAAGGCAAAGATGAACAATAAATAAAGGAAAAAACAACATAACTATTTAGCTATAATAATGCTATAATAAGTTCAGAATGTACTAATAATTCATTAATCTTACTAGTTAACAGTATTAAGTTTATGATATGATGTTCCACTTTGGTTATCAGAGTTGGTGAAGATTGGCCACTGTATGATATCTTGAATCAATTCAAGAAGGGTCAAAGTCACATGGCTGTTGTCCTCAAGTGTGAAGAGAACACCAGAACTGTTGCAATTGATACAGAAGGAAAAATTCCAGGTCTGATTCTACACAGACAATTCACATTCAAAATCAATACCATCAACGAGCCAAACTCAGCTCCCATAGGAAATTTGAGCATATGATACATCAGATATCATTTTTTGCATAAGCCTCGTTTTCATCAGTCCAATATTTTTCTTGGAATGTGTTTGATATAAAGTGTGTTTGGTTCTACATCAAATAGGCACATTGCCCTTTAAAATCACATCAAATAATGGAAACCAACGCATAAGCAACATATAGTTGCTTCTGTTTTGTGACTCATTTCTCATAGATGGAACGCAGAAAATCATTTGAGGGTTTGTTTAAGTAATTTTCTTTAAAATAACTTTTAAAAGAGAAAATTAAAAATAAAAAATGAAATAAATTTTTTCATATGTTAAAATTAGCTTAAGCATAAGCAAAATTGTAAAAGTTCTTCCCTATTTGTTTTTTCAAAATCTTACTTTTAACTTATGTATAAGTTAGTTTTAGCTTATAGTAAAATTTATTTAAACTATTTTTCGTTTTTTTTTTCCCTAAAAGTGTTTCAAAAGAAACTTATCCAACCAGCCATTAAGTTGTTGCCTAGTGACTTTATCTTTTTGAATAGTTGGCTATTGACATGGTATTATAAAGCATTTACATTCTAAATAAGTTTGGTATGTGCTACTATGTGTTAATCCACCCTTTCAGCCTAAAGGACTCTTGCGTGAATAGCATAAACTTTTAGGGTAGTTGATTTCATGCAAGCATATAAGGGTGTAACTGTGAATTTTATAGGACTTTACTCTTCATTTGAACCAGGAGGCTCAACTGATGCATCAAATTGGCTTTCACAAGAAACAGAATATTATAGTGCAACACTGAAGAGTGTCATGCATCGAGAGAGTGACTCAGATCATCCACAAAGAAGATCAGAACAACCTGATGCAAGTTCATCCTTTGAGAATTTAGAGTCTCTTCCAACAACGGATGAGCAAGTGGTTGGGATAATCACATTAGAAGATGTGATGGAAGAGTTGCTTCAGGTTAATGTTACTGACCATGATCAATGTTCCCTTAGAAATTTTGTTTTCAATTCAATAGTTATAGTCATATTATAGGTACATAGTAACATGATTTTATCTTATAATAGTGAATTTGAGCCTAACTCAACTTTACAAAATTAGCTTGTATAATGAAGAATGTTTTTCACTTATATGTTATTTAATTGTCTAATCTCTAGTCGACGTGAGACTTGACTTTTTCCCAATACACCTCTCACATCCAACATTATTAGACTTGTACATGGATAAATGGTAGGTGACTCTTTTTAATGATTTGGGATAGATGCCCATTTTTAAGGATATAGGATAACTCTGATAATATTTTAGAACAGTGGATTTGAGTCTACTTTAACCCTACAAAACCAATTTTATAAAGTGATAGATGTTTTTCACTTATATATTATTTAATTATCTAATTTCTAGTTGACTTGCGACTTGGATTTTTCTCAATACTTTGTTGAAATTTTGTTTTCAACTTAACTACTGCTTTCTTTTGTTCGTTTCCGGTATTGTAAGATTGCTAATATTTTAGTTGTTTTCATTATTCAAGGAAGATATATTGGATGAAACTGATCAATATGTTGATGTCCATCAAAAGTGAGTAAAGTTTCAATACTCTTAACTCCACACATAGACCATAGTATCCATTAAAATTTATATGAAGATTTTTGGATACATGTTTAAAAGTGTTTTTAAGAAATTTTCTCTTAAAAAAGTAATTTATTTTCGATAGAGATATTCTCAAAGGTATTTTAAACTAGTATCTAAACAAATTTTATGTCATTGATTAATTGATTCTTTATCTTGTTTCAGTATCAGAATCAAACTACAACATGCAAGAAGAGTGTCATCAGGGTCCTCGAGAAGGGCTTCAAGTTATCGTCAACAACGGAGAAGTTCAGACGCATCTCGAGTTTGCTTTTTAACTCCTGCCCATGTTTCACCCGTTTCTCCATAAGCAAAAAAAATCACGTCCCATGTTTCTCATCAAGAATTTGTCCTACGTTGTTTTATTTTAATGTCCCATATATATGATTTCATCCAGTATTGTGACATCGATTTCTTGTTGAGTTCTATTAATTATGAAATTAATGTGCTGCCTCTTTATATTTAGGACAAGAGAATGATGATTAATGTGTAAAATCACACGCATACGAATTTTTAGAGTTTAAATTTTATGCATGATTTGTGTAAAAAGAAGTTATATCTTTAACTAATTAGAAATTATTTTATATATGACTTTTTAAAGATGATAAAAGTCAATAAATTCGAGAGAAATTAAATGGTAGTTAGTATTTTAGTCTATGTAATGTTTAGACTAAATATTTATTATATAAAACTAAAATTTATAATTAATTATATATACAAATAAATATTATATTTAAGAATATAAGTTATATTTAAAATTTGTATAAATAGATATTTTTAAACATATAAATTATATATTTTTTTACGGTAAAATATAAATTATATTTTAAATTTATGATAAATAATTTATATTACAATCTAATATTATTTTTATTTATTAATAATTTATTTTAGAAATATTAAAATTTAATTTATAAATAATTATGAAAAATAAAAATTGAATTAAATAAAAAAATTAAAAATTATTAAAAAAAGCTTCTTTTTGAAAAAAATCTCTTAAAAACATCTTTATGTATAATAGAGATTTATGTTTAATATATTGAGATTGATATAAAAAATGTTTATGAATTATAAATAAATTCAAAATAATAGATGCATAAGTGGATGATGATTAATATGTAAATTTGGTTAAATTAGTATTTGTTTCCTATAAGTGACACTAATTTAGAAATTAGTCTCGTAAACATATATAATGGTTTCTGATATCATATTCTTTTCTAGTTTTCAAAATTTAATTTAAATCATAATTTTATATTAAAATATGATTTTTTTTTTTTTAATAAAAAAGTGTAAGAACTATTTTTGAATTGATTTTTTTAAGAGCAACTGTGTTAAGTTTGTTTAATAAAGAAGTAAATTCACCTGGACTTGTCAAGAGAAGAAATTAGCTCAACAACACTGACCCATCTGGAACAACATTTTGGGTCGGACCAACACTTTAAGGCCCATGTTTCGTCAGGCCGAACCGGTCCGGTTCAGAACCCTCGGTTTTGTTTTCTCCACGAAATTCAAATTCCCGCCTGAAAAAGCCGAAAGAAAACTAAAAATTCCCCAATGGGAAAATCAAATACTGATTCATCAGAAAACGAAACGAAGATGTCATCAACCACAAGCAGCACCAACATGAGCGATGTCGATCGCTTATTCGCGTGTTTCAAGTGCGGTTTAACCCCTCCCAGTACGTTCCTTCGTTTTCCTTTCGTTGTTTTTTTTTTCTTCTCCGAATCCCTACGAAACTGTGAACTTCAAAATTCTAATTATTGAGTGTTAAATTGAAAGCGAAAAAAATAATTTAATGTGTTGATCCTGCAGAATCCGCCACGAGGGAAAGAAAACGAAGCAAAAGGGGATTGGAGCAGGAGAGTTCAAAGCATGAATTTCCATCAGAATCTCCAGGTCCAGGACAAGTTGGAGGAGAACTGAAAACTCCCTTATCACGCATCAGAAAAACCAACGTTGAATCTTCCATTGAGAAAGTAATGTACTAAAAGTTATTAATAAAGGACAAAACTTAGATGAAGTTGTTTAGGTACTTAGGTGCTGTTTTTCGACCAGAACTAGAGTTTTGTTTCAGTAATTAATATGATAAAGGTTTACATTAAATATCAACATAGATTATTGAAATAAAACTTTAATTCTGATAGGAAAACAACTCTAAAAGCATACAGGAAACTATATTTGAGTTTGGTTCATTAGTAAATTGATTCTTTCCTTTTTATGATGTCTCAAATGAATAATTTGCATGTCTTAGATAAGGCTTAGTTGTTGTTGATGTTGATATAAATTTTGCTACATATGGTTGACAACATTTAGGTTCGGTAGAGCAATTAGTTGGCTACTACTTTACCCTTTTAAATGTTGTCCTCTTTAGGTAAGTATGTAACTTTTGCTTGCTTGATGTAACTTGTTATTGGATAATTGGAGTTAAAATGTTAGGGAGTTTTATGTATCTTCTAGTTTGTTATTTTTTTTTTCAGGGACATGCTTCACATAGTGTCCTAAAGTTGATATTCAATGATTAGTTTGTGTTTACTGAACCTGTCTTATGCTAGTCAAGCATTATTTTAATATACACAAGAATCTGAGAGCATTAGGTTGATCTCTTGTATCCTAGGACTAACCTTACAATCACTTGGTCAAGAGGCTTGGTTCTTCTAGTTTAATTGATGATTGTTTGGTTTGAGAAAATGTTTTCTGTTTTTATTTTCTATTTTCGCTTTTAAGTATAATAATACTATCTTATTTTCTCTTTGTTCCATGTCTTTGAAAGCTTCTATGAGTGAAAGTATCTTTTTATTGTTTTTTCCTCATATTTTGTTTTTACTCCTTACTATACAACCTTCTGAAAACAAGATACAAGGTTAAAACAGAAAACATTCACTAATCTTTTTATTTTTATTTTTTTGGCACAGTACATTGCTACTTCTTGTACCCATGCTGTTTTTAAAATCTTGCTGTATTCCTATTCTTATATGTGCAACTTGGCTCATACACTATTTTCCATCAAAATTAAATTACTTTGCATTAAACTTTCAGCTTAAATCAGCAGTAGCCAGAAAATCTCAAAGCATTGGTCGTGGGAAGCAGTTCTCTCCAATTGTATTTTATGGATCTCCTCATGGCGTCCCTCCCAAAAGGCCAACTCGTATATTGTGGCGACTGTTACGTGAGATATGTCCTGATCTCTCTCAGCAAAAGAAATTGAACATAAGGTATTTGTTTCTTAGATGCTGCATTCTGGTTCTACCTGCTACTCTTTCAATCTGTTTATCCTTCTTTTACTTTATTTACCAAAATATTACTTCAATCCTGCTTTGTGTTTGTCTAGGAGGGAAGTTTGGATGACATTCCCAAGGCAGGATGAAGCAATGAAGTTTGCCAAAGGACAAGAAGATGTTCATGTTTTCAGCTATCAAGACCATTGTAATGGCCAAAGAAGGTTCCTTGTATGTACATATAAAGAATTCTGGCGAAGGTTTCCTTCATATATTTCCTTTCTCGTGATTCATTATTTGCTACTAATTAGTAATGATAAAGATCCTTGTATCAATATATTCATATTGCTGATGTCTGTACTCTCAGGTACAAGAATATGGATCCCAAATTTCGTCATCATTATGAAGTGATTCAAGAGGTAATGATCTTGTGTGTTTTATGTTCATTGATTTAACTAGAAATGAGGCTGTAGTTACATTATGAGTAATCTTGGTGCGTCTTCATGATTGTTTTTTCCAGTCTTATAGTTTCTTTGCTCCCAGGGTTTACCATGCCACCTTTATTTTGATTTGGAGTTTAATAAGAAAGTCAACATAGGAAAGAATGGAGAAGAAATGGTTGATCTCTTGATATCAGTAGTTCTAGAAGCCTTACGTGAAAAATATGCAATCCATGGAGACCACAATTGGGTAGTAGAACTTGATTCTTCAACTGAAGGTATGGTTTTTCTTCAGGTATATTACTTGTTTTGTATGTGGTAGGCTAGTAGCCCATATCTTCAATTAGCTTTTGTTGTTTGCTTATATGCCTTTTTCTTTTAATGTGACTTTGTCACCTGACTTCAATTCTTTATTCTGTAGTTTTCTTATGCCTTCCATGATTTCCATCTATGTTTACATTTTTCTTTCTCTCTCTTTTGTGTTTTTGCCCAATGTAATTTAGCGAAGAATTTGTGGCTAATCTATGTAAATTAACAGTTACAGTGGTACTGTGGCTTTAACACATTAATTACACTTGAGGATCAATATTGATTTGTTAAAGATTAGACAGCAGCTATCATTGGTGCTCTTTGTTGACCAAAACATTGGAACCAGTGGAATATAGAGATTGTATTTCTTGTCTAGTTTACCCTGAAATGCTTCGGTTTCAATTATCCGTTTGCCTCCAATACTTTCTAAAGCCTTTATTTTTGGAGGATTGGTGTTGGTTAAATGATATATGATAATCCGCTCAAGACCATCCATCCTCATTGATGGAAGATTCAGTCCCCTCAAGACCTTGTGCCATACCAAGTGATAAGGACTTTACCTTTGAGCCAATGGACACCTTTAGCACTTTCTAATTTCTTCTGCTAGGTTTTCTTCTGTCAATTAAGGGAGAAAATGAGAGACTTGCGAGGAAGTCCATTTCCATGTACTGATCCATGTATAAAACGTTGAGTGCTAACCTTGTTTATACTAATAACTGTTCTAACTAATTAGGGAAACAAATCATGAGATAAAGGAAAATGATGACCGATTCTATAAGAGATAATGGGAAATGGGGAAACTATAAGTAAGAGATAATCTAAGATACGATGAAAATTTTCATATATTATAACATATTTGTTAATTCCAAAAGCATTTTACACCTTCTGTTTTATTAATTTTTACAAGTAAAACAATTGTTGGGTGCTTCTATGACTTTCCCATGTTATGACCCTTATTATCTCATTATTTGCATTTGCAGATAAGTTCTCTCGCCATATAATAGTTCGCATACCAAAGGTTGCATTTAAGGACAACTCTCATGCAGGTGCATTTGTTTCAGAAGTAAGTTTGAGTACACTCATCTTTTTCAACCTTAGCTAGAGATAAATTTTGGATAAGGTCCATTAGGATGGTTTTCCTTGTATTCATTAGATTCACTCCTTTCTTTCTGCTACTATCTATACATAGTGACACTTTACTCACACATAAATATATAAATAAGTTGATTTCAGTAATTATGAACGATTCAATTGGGAAAATACTACTGTTATCTGATAAAAAGGAAAAATTGTTATTGTTATGCAACTGTCTGGTATTTCTTTTGTTTTAGTATCCACTTTCAACCATCGTCCCTCTATGATGACATATAACCAGATATGCTCAAGAATTCTAAATGCAAGGGGAGAAGATAAAAGTTTCGAAAAATTGCTTGTAATGAAAGATTCTAGCAGCAATGAATCTGCAGGCCAACTTTTTGTGGATACTGCTGTATATTCCCGGAATCGTTGTTTCCGTCTTCTTCTTTCTTCAAAAGCAGGAAAAAGTTCAGTTCTTCTACCAACAAAGCGTTTTAAGTGCAAGGACTTGGTATGGTACTTTTCTTACCAATATTTCCTATTTGAAATTATACCATCAAAATAGTATTTTTAAGAAAGGGTTTTCTTAAAAGAAAATTGCGTGAAAATTGAAATATTTAGTTTCAGTATTTTCAGACTACTCTACACAACACAGAAGATGGAACACATTAGCCATTATATGGACATAGAACTCTAAAAGAATCAGCCATTATTTGATTCTTCTTTTAAATCATATGGGTAATGGGTTTATAATTTTTTTCTTTCTTTACCATGTAGGAAGGATATCAACATGTTTATATGTATTGTTTCCATTTAATTACCTAAGATTTCCTGTTGAAGACAGTTGTAGGGTCATAGTCAACACAACAAAAGGCAAAAATATGCATTTTCATGAGCAAACTAGTGTGTTTGTGTCTTCGTTGTGCCTTTTATATCTATTTTGTGCAATTTTTGTCACTTAGTAATTTGTCTGTTTTGATTTCTTTAAGTCACAGGGTGAAGAAGACATGTTCATGGCTTCCTTGATCTGCAATATGGATGTCGATTGCAAAACGTTTCTGGTCTGCAAAACAGACTTAGATTGCGTAAAAACTCTGCATTTTGATACAGAGGTAGACTTGGGCTTTAAATTTATAAATCTTTTATTGCATCAATTTTATTTCTTTTTAGTTCCAAGATACTTGCTACATAGAAATTGAAGATCATGATTTCCGACATTCTAAAATTTATTTTCTTACTAGATTATAAATTGTTATCATTCATATATACATACATATATATATTATATATATATTTTAATGTACAATCAAGGTTCAAATTTAGAATTTTGAGCATATTACACCAATTTCCCCTACCAGGTCGACTTAAGTCTAGATTTTTAAAATAGGTTTTTGAATATGTCTAACATAGAATATGACTTTTTGTATTATTTTTACCCATCAGAATTATACTCTTACCTGTTACTGAATAGTGATTTGTTGATCACAAAATCTTTTACCATAACTGGACATAAGATTAACTTCCTTAAAATTTAAACTTCAATGTGCTTAATGCCTTAATGATTATACTTGTTTAACTTTGACAGGAAAATAGTAATGTTGGAAATTCTTGCCATATTCCTTCGGAATTTACATTGGATACTAGAAAAAGTGAAGTTTCAACTACATATTTCATGGGAAAGTCACCATTCCCATTTCTAGACAAATTTATACTCTCAGTTGCCTCTGTCGGGAATATACCAGGTGATACTATTTTGAATTCTAGTAGCGACACTTGCACATACTATTCAATGAGAGCATGTCTTGTTATGAGAGATAAGAAGTATAAATAATAATTTTAAATTATAAATAAAAATAAAATTAAAGGTTGAAATTAAAATTCAATTATAAATACTCCTACAAGATCATTACAATTGTTGTCTCCACAATTATTATCATCATCACCATCATTGTTGGTGGTAACATCGGTGGTGGTGGAAACATAAAAAATAATAGTAACAATAATGATAGTAATGATGGTGATGCCATTGATGAGAGTGACAAAAATGATGGACATCATCGTCATTGTTGTTACCACCATTCTTACCACTTTAGTTGCCTCCAATGTAGCACAAATGCAGACACCACATGAACATGGGGATATAGTAAAATAAAGAAAAAAGAGACATTATATATATATATATATGGTTGTCAATCTCTAGTGATAACTCATACGAGATTTGAGATTAGGACAACTTACCTGTATAATTCGGGAGTAAACTCGTTTTTGAGTAATCTCAGAGTAATCTCGGTGATCTCGTGATAACTCGTATGAGATTTGAGATTAGGACAACTTACCTGTATAATTCGGGAGTAAACTCGTTTTTGAGTAATCTCAGAGTAATCTCAGTGATCTCGTGTAATCTCGTGTAATATTGCGAGTTCAGTCCCGAGTTTAAGAGATCACATATTTTTTTGTTCTCCACAAAACAGTCGTTTTGGGTTAGGGCTGAAACATAATAGTTAATAGCGGTTGTCGCGGCAGCAATTGCGGCGCGTCAAAGCAGAGCGGCTCTGTTTCGCTACAAAGAGTTTGTTGCGGAAAGCTTTAAAGGACCGGTTGGAGTGGCCGTGAAAGTGGCTGAGTGTGGCGATGCGATCGCAGGTGGGAGACAGACAGCGGCTGTCTTCTCCGACGGTGGCTCTGTATGCTCCGACATCTGCAGATCTGTCTTCTTCTAAGAGGGAAGGCAGCGGCGACGGCTCACGATTAGAAGGGTTATAGGAAAAATAATTAGGGTTAGAAAAGTTGGGCCAAATGGGCCAAGTTTTATTTTATCTTTTAATTAGGTTAAGGGGGTTTTTACTTCACTATTTTTTTTAGAAAGTAACTTCTCTTTATTATTAATTATTATTATAATTTAGATAATATTTTAAGTAATAAAAAATTTAATATAAGAACTTAAATATTTTATTTTCTTAATTTTTTTATTTTGTTTAACTACTATAAATTTTTATTATTAAAAATATTTAATGTATAAATTCAGTCATACAGCCTCAAAAAATAAACACAAGGTGCCACTATCCAATATCATTCATCATCCCCAATCCTAAGATCTACATTACTAAAGTCATCTTCATCTTCCAATATTAAAAGTTCTTCTCCTTCATTATCTTCAATTTCTTCCTCATATTCTATTATTGATTTTTCCTTATCAGGCTTGGCATTCAAGTTCCTTGGACCTATGTTATCAAAAGAAAATAATAAGGTCTAGTCCTAATTCCAACTTCCAAGTTCTAAATTATCTTCTAAATATAAATAATTACCTCTCTTCCTTTTCTTGTTTGGAGCTCCTTCATCAACACCAAAGCACTCATATACATCCATCCATGAGGCATCAATAGGCAAGCAACGATTATCCTTTTCGGTGATCCACTCATCAACGGATTCAATATCCGACAAGTATATGGGATCATAGTTATTCCCATTCTCTTCTCTACTATTTTGCCTCATCTCAAGTTAGAGATTATATTTAACACATACAAGTGCATTTAATCTTTGTTGCTCCAATCGATTTCTTCTCTTAGTATGCACTTGGTCAAATGTACTTCAATTCCTCTTGCATCCCATGGTGTTACATGTGAGACTCAAAATTTTCCTGGACACCTTTTGTAACTCTTTACCTCTTCCACCATAACTCTCCCACCAAAGAGCTATAAAAAAAATGTAGTTAGTTTACAAAGTTATTATTAATTATTATCTTTATGATATTTATAAAGTTTAAAAATTATAGGGATACCATGTCCATTCCAAAAATCTCCTTAGCTCCCTTGAGTTTTTCAAGTTGTTGATCCATTATAACTCTTGTCCTTGTATCCGGAACCATTCTTTGAAAGGTTTCATATAAATCAATCAACACTTCACTATCCGGATTGAAGTTCTTGTCATAATGATACCTAACTAAATAAGAAACAAAAAAGCTACTAGGTACAAAGAAAATAGTAGTACTTAAAATGATAATTAGTTTTAAATAACTTACTTAGGATTGAGATAATAGGCAACTTGAGATAATAGGCAACTTGAGATAATAGGCAGCATGAAGAGGCCTATGAAGTTGTAAATTCCACCCAGTGTCAATAATCTTTCACTCTATTTTATACCTTGACTCTTGCATTTGAAAATTTTCAGCAATTTTCTCCTTGACTCTATCCATTGCTTCATAAATGTATGGTATGGCTGGTTTCGAATCCCCATCTACAAGCCTTAACACTTTTACAAGTGGAATCACACACTTTAGGCAAACCTTTCCAGCCCTTCCCCTACCCTCGTTGCCTCCCCCTCTACTTCACCCTCTAGACCTCTGACATCGAGTCCCACTGCCTATCCTTGGACGACCACCTCTCCTCCTTCTCTGCCCTCCCTTGCGTCTTCTCCGTTGACACCACCATCTTTTGTCTCCATGGCCTTGGGTGTTTTAGACTGGCCTCTCCCTCTACCTAGACGCCTTCATCCCTGAGGGTTGCTACCGCCTCCACAATGTAATCATCTGCGTCAAGGGATCCACATAGTGCAGTGCAATCATGATGAATTGCGTTTTTGATTCACACAATCTTCATTGTGTTTAGGGATGATAATGGGACGCATGAAGACAAAATAAAAAGGGACCCTTAACCGCCTTATAAATTAAAAATCCCTCTTGTATCTTACCGGTCTCATACTTGTTTGGATATTTATTAAGTGAGTAACTGAATTTTATTTATATTCGCATGTGTTCTAGATGCTAATGAATTTTTTTAAAATTAAAAAAATATTATAAATAATCTTTAGTTTATATTTAATGTTAATTATATTAAAATATTAAAAATAAATAATTAATATTAATTTTTAAATTTGTAATTAATGATAATTTTTTTAAAATATTAAAAATAATATTAAAATATAAGATGAGAATATAAATATTTAGTTAATATTATTTAACAGATACTTACGCGTATACATATTACCATAATCGCCCTCTCCCGTTTATAAACGGATACAAAAATATTTTTACTCGTTAGACGCAAGTATTCATTTAGGTTACTTATTATCTGTGGCAAATTTTAATTGCAGTACGGGTAATTTTGTCATCTGTAATTGTGCTCCCTCGTCCTGCTTACCTATGCGTTCCGAGTGTTGGGCCGTGTCTGGAGGTTGGGCTGTGTCTGTGTTGGAGTGTTTGATGATTGGGCCATGTCAGATTTTGGTGGGTCGTGTCCATGCCGTGTCAGTGTTGTCTTCGTGTCAGATTTGTTTCCAACACAGGCACACGACCATATGAAGGCTTGTCCATGCTTTGTTAGGTACAGCTGCGTACAGCTGCCACCACCTTTCGGGAGAAACAATCTGTTTATTTCAAGAGTAAGTCTACCTAGATTTATTTCATTCAATAATTCATGTTCTACATTAAATTTCAACGATCCAATTGTTGAATTTAAAGTTTTTAATACATAGATCAAATCTGTAAATTTTTAAAAAATTTGAAAATTATTTGGTACTTCGTCCTATTAATTCAAATCAATGTATAAAATGATTTTATGATTATCCGTTAATTTGAATTAATGAAATAATTTTCAAATTTTAAAAAAAATTGCAGATTTGATCATGCATTAAGAACTTTAAATTCAATTGTTGGATCATTGAAATTTGATGTAGAACACGAGTTATTGAATGGAGTAAATCTAGATAGACTTACTCTTGTATTAAACGAATCCCTCCTCTATATATATATATATAAACTATATGTTTAGTGTCGAAGTTTAAAGCCTACCACCATGTACATATTCCTCAGTCACGTAATTACAGTTTGATAGTTGACGACGGACATTGAAGAAAGAAAAAAACAAAAGAAAACAGTTGACCCGATTGTGCCTTTTCACCATTAGAATTGGAAACTAATAATATAATAATAGAATTTAAATACTCCCATTCTTGTCATATTCTAATTACTCATTGAACAACATCAACACCATCATTTACCACCTACCAACAATTCATCCCCTAATTTTAGTGTGCAAAAGTCAGCTTTTGCACTTCCCATGAAATTTCCCTGATGATACAAGTATATACCTTATAATGACATTAAGTTATTGTAACATATAGGCTGCACTAGCAGTGCACTAAATGCTAGTGCATTACTCATCCTATAAAACAAATAGTTTAATAGTTACTGTATCTATAAAAATATAAAGTATCAACCAGTTATAATTTATAATTCTTTTATTTACAATAATAATAATAATAAAGTAAAGTTTAAATTTAAAATTATGTATATATTATCTCAACTTTATTATTATGACAATAATAATAATAATAACTGAGAAGGTGAAAACTTAGAGAGAGAAAGAGAGAGAAAGAGAGAAGGAAAGAGAAAGAAAGAAAGAAAAAGAAGAAAGTAGTAAATTAAAAATTAAAGGTGTAAAATTAAAAATTAAAAAAAATATATATAATATTTTATAAATTAAAAAAAAATAAAGGAGGTGTACTAAAAAAAAAGTGTGTATATCATAGAGCCATGTCCATTTCATGTTGCTTACTCTGTATTTCACTGGGCCCAATAATTAGATATCGGTTTTTTCTTTTAAATTTTTATATTCTTCTTAAAAATACTAATGTTAAAGCAGGTTGAAATGTTGAATATGGTTGTATGAGTGAGTAATGGAGGCTATTCTTCTAGAGACAATTCAATTAAACTAATAATTTGGCTACAAAGCTATTGATGCACGATAATTATTTACTCTTCCATCTCATAATAATAAAAAATATTCTTCTAGGTTATTTTACGCATAAAATAAATAAATAATAAAAAAATATAAAATTAGTCTGATGATTAATCTTTTATTCATTAAAAATGATACAACACCTATCCATTTTTTAAATAATATTATTAGAATATAAATAAAAAAATTTAAGTAATTAATTTTTCATTGAAAAATTAATATGATATTTTAAAACTTATTTTTTCTTTTAACACAATAATTATTATAAAGTGGGAATATAATCAATTTTTTTTTTTCATCGTCATATGACACTATTCAGATGTACATCATTAATATTTTAGTATTAAGAAAATTTTTAAGTCTTTCAAAATTTTAGTTGTTTTATTTAAGTTTTTAAATTTGATATCTTATTATTATTTTAGTCTCTAAACATGACTCAATATTAACATTTAATTACATTTTTTTATTTTAGACTAAAATCAGTATCATTTTATATTTTCAGAAAATTCTTTTTAAAAAAAAAATCATACTTTCAAGGACCAATATGCACGGAAGACTCATTACTCCTCCATTTTTCCAATTAGTCAGCCATTTTTCTAAGTCCACAATAGACATTGTTAAAATAAAAGAGATATGCAAGTTGGTAATGACCTATTACTTCTTATTAGTAACACTAATGAAGGCCAAATACTTTTCGTCTCCATCATGGCTAAACTTCAAAACTTTTTCCCCACCTTCAACGCTAGCTATCTAATCAAAAAAATTTAATTTATTAGTTGTATGACCTACCTTCAAATATGAAAGATTGATTTGGTGTATTTAGATTTGATTTCGTTCAATGTTAAAATAATACATAGTAAATAGAAATTACTTTTATAAACATAAATTGACTTTTAATTTTTAGTTTTGAAATATTGTGCGAATTGTATTTATACATATATATGAGAAACAATCTGTTTATTTCAAGAGTAAGTCTACCTAGATTTATTTCATTCAATAATTCATGTTCTACATTAAATTTCAACGATCCAATTGTTGAATTTAAAGTTTTTAATACATAGATCAAATCTGTAAATTTTTAAAAAATTTGAAAATTATTTGGTACTTCCTTCATATCCAACATCGTTGCCATCACCCAATCACTATTGTTGCTATCGTTTTTATTATTGCATTTTTCATCATCATTTGTTGTTGCCACATGATAATGACGATAGTGATAATAGCAGCGATGGTATTTGCAACTTCGGACAACAATGATAGTATTGATATTTTCGTGGTCACGTGGCGGTGATGATGATAATGACGATAAGAACGATACTAATGGTAATGACTGATGAGAGTACTAGTTGGTGGTAGTTGTGGAGTACAATAATAATGATCTTGTAGTAAAGTATTTACAATTGAATTTTCAACTTAACTATTAGTTGTTTTTATTTATCTCTTTCACCTCTCATAAGACATTCTCGGTGAAGTCTCTAAAGGACTATTAATGCAAGTGGTGTATTTATGCACCATGAAAATTGACCGTAGATATAATAGTAAAATAATAAACAGTTGAGATATTTAATCTATAAACCTTTTATGATTAAGATTTTGAAATTATAGATTAGTTCTTTTGTTTTTCTTAATTGTCAATCTTTTGATAACAAGGTGCCCTCCAACTCGCAACACTCCGCCACTCTCATCATCATCAGCAGCACCTGGCTCCAAGTGAATTCTGTTGCCGAGAGCCAAACCCAAGGCCCGCATCCCGAGCTCAAACGACAAGGCAGCGTCTTTGGTGGTGATTCCGGAAACCAAGGGACACATGTCGGAAAGGACAACGAAAAACCCTTTTTGGGCGGGAGAGAGAGCCTTGAGGCGGCAATGAGGGAGCGTGGTGACGCTAGTGGAGAGGGTCCGGACCCTGAAATCGCAGTGGAGAGGGGGAGGCTTGATCTTCTTGGTGTCGACGCCGAGGACGGAGCCGCTCGCCCACCCTAAAACAAAACCCTCAAAAAGATTGACAATTAAGAAAAACAAAAGGACTGATCTACAATTTTAAAATCTTAATCATAAAAAATTTATAGATTAAATATCTCGACCGTTTATTATTTTGAGGTTCTTGAGCCATAGGAAACAAGCATTATTGGTCAATTTTCATGGTGCATAGATACACCACTTGCATTATTGGTCCTTCAGAGACTTCACCGACATTCTCATTGCAGATGTTTCATATATATATATATATA